CCCATAATGTTAATTAACTGGACTGTGCCAATAAAGTTCTATTAGCCTCCCCCTATTAAATTAATATGATAGGCATTTAACAGATGTCCTAATTAGATGTTACATCACAGAATGAGGTAAATTAGAATTGAGCCATTGTTCAAAGGGTAGTTGGGGGAAAATGGTGCACGATGGGATGAAAAACCTTAACTTTATGTGGTGAGCAAAAGCAGCTGTTGTTGTTGCCTTGCAAGGAGAACTTGTTGATAGCACACTCAGGGTATTGTTGTGTGCCTTCAAGTCGTTGCCAGCTTATGGCAACCTTAAGGCAACCCTACTATGGGGTTTTCTTGGCAAATTTGTTCAGAGGAGGTTTGCCACGGCCATCCTCTGAGGCTGATAGTGTGGGACTATCATACTTGACTTGAATTGACCAAGTGTGACTTCACCAAGTCGCTTGACCAAGTATGACTTGACCAAGTCACTTTAACCAAGTGTGACTTGACCAGGTTCACTCAGTGGGTTTCACGGCTGAGTGGGGAATCATCTCCAGAGTCATAGTTCAACGCTCAAACCACTACGCCATGCAGACGCTTACTATGATGGTGAATATACAAAATTTGGCATTGGCAAACTGATGAAAGGACTCAGTTGGATACTGCTGCTGGATTGCACTGGTTCCACCAGAACCAGTGACCCCCCCACTATCCTCCCAGAAGCCCCATAGACATCTAGGATTGCCACTTGAGGATTGTCCCTGGCCCTGAAAGCAAGGCATGACTCCCCAGTGATGCCATTTACCACTATGCATCATTTACCATTATGTGTTAAGTATGACCCACGTTTGCTCAGAGCTTGTTATTCAAACACTACACATACAGATAGAATTCAAAGATATAGCTGTGTTAGTCTGTAGAATCAGTCTATAGAGAAATCTTGTAGCACCTTTGAGACTAAGAGAAGAAAGAAGATGGCAGCAAGAGCATCTGTAGACTTAAGTCTACAGTTGTCCCTCTATTCTCATGGACTTGGGATAAGCGTCCCTTGCCCATCGCGGGTGGCCAACAAAGGGGCACAAAATGGGGTGTGCCCCTCCATTCAAGCCTATGGAGCTTGAATATACACAATTTTCCATTCTCGTGGGGAGGTCTGGAACGGATCCCGTTCCAGACCTCCCCACGAGAGGTTGGTTGATTGTACTTTCTCAGATGCATTTGGTGGTGTGGAGTGGTCTCCACTTCACCAAATATATCTGAGGAAGTAGACTTAAGTCTACAAAAGCTCATGCTGAGAACTTATTTCTTTCACAGCTGCTAAAGATCTCTCTACATACTGATAGAGAAAGAATGCCTTTCTCTATTTGGAAATTAAGACAGAAGTTTTAACTAAAGGGTCTGTTCCTAGATTAAGGTGAAATGTGCAGATTATTCCTTCTCACCTGCTTGGGAGTAACAAACATTTCATCTACTCCTTTTGCTTCTAGCTAGAAGCTGCATGCAGAAGAGAGCAAAGGGTACTGCAATGACCAGGAGAGAAGGAGAAAGACACATTCTTTTCCCTGAGGATCTTTGAGAAATTGCAGCAACAAATCAGTGAAGCCTTACAAGCTTCTGATCTACTAAAGTGAATTGGAGGATTGCTGACAGCCCTTTTTTCTTAGCAGGAGCTGAGCCCACCCAAACAGGAGAATGTGCGCTCTTCATTTCCCACCTGGAGATAACTCAGGAAAACCCAAGGCCTTGAGATCTGGCAACACTGTACACCCCCCAAAAATTGCTCTGTGTTTTTCCCCAACCGTCCATGGTTTTCAGGTGTATGTGGGTCTGTACCAGCAATTGGAAGCAGTTCTGGTGGAAGCAGAGAGATCCAACAGAAGTATTCACTTGGATACTTGGGATGGGGCTGAAAATAAAATGCCAAATTAGAATCCCAACAGGTAAATCCAAAGTGAACCCACCGGCCAAATCAAGACACCTTACTAGCTCCATTGTTGCAAAATTTCTGGGCACAATTCAAAGTGACTTATAAAACCCTCTATAACTTAGGTCCAGGCTATTTGAAGGACTGCACTGCCCTGTATGAGCCTGCTCAGGCTCTAAGATCTGAATTACATCTCACTTAGTTTATTCTTTATTTGCTAATATTTGGCAATTTTAGTGATTCTGTTTTGATAAAACATTTATGAATTGTTTGATTGCTGATATAACAACAAACTCTTTGTGGGCACATTTGTTAGCACAATTGTTACTATAATTGAGCTATTCGTTTAGGGTTTTTTTAATTAAAAAAAAGTCTGAATAGGGGTTTGGATGACTTTTAAAAAAGGACTAGACTCATTTATAAGGGATCAAGCTCTCTATTGCCACTAGTCAAGGTTGTGGCATCACTAAGGATGGTGTCACCTGGTGCGGTAACTCATAGTGCCACCCGCCCATTGATCTCCTCTCAAACCACACCATACAGAATCCTTAAGTAATGTTTTTTGTACCAATGTTACTCATAAATCACAATTCCCATATATCACTGAATGTACTGGCAATAGTTGTGACATAAACTAGAAAAATTAAAACCATACCTTTAAACTACAGTATCACAAGCACAGCCTACATGTATTTACATTTACACATTCGATTGTAAAATGAAAATTTGGTAAGATGTGATGTTTCTAAAGAAAATTTAAATAGTAAAATTAAAACCATGAAGCCTTTCCTTTCTCGATCCACTGAGCCTCACCCCACTTGTGCCTTCTCTTCCACTGAGGTCGAGTTTTAAAGGGACTTGGGTGAGTGCCACAGCCCATTTCTGCCAAAAGGCAGACATTTGGGGAACAGTGGTCCTATTGATGCCCCTGAGTCAAGGAGTTGGACCCTCAGGCCCAAGGTGCAAATCTGGCTTTCCTGCAATCTCTTCTTTAATACTATCATCTGGTGTCTGAATATTTGTACATATTGCTCCCCTATTCTAGAAAGTTCAAATGCTTCTCCTATAGATTGGTTACTAGCAGTAGAAGCTTTAAAATCTCACCCGCTGTGGACTGCGTGTTCCAGGTTTATCCGAAATCCAATCTGATCTTTGAGTTGAAGGCAATTCCCACTCCAGGTTCAAAGGAAAAAATGCCATTTAGGGTTGCCAGTTCTTAGGGTCTGGCCTCGAGTGTCAGGACCTAGATTAGTGCTTCCTAAACTTTGGTCCTCCAGGTTTTGGACTTCAACTCCAAAAGAAGCCCCAGCCAGTTTGACCAAGGAGACAAAGTCAAAAATATCTGGAGGACCAAAGTTTGGGAAGCACTGACTCCTCAGCAGTTCTGGGGGATGAATCTCAAGGCAAACACGTTCTCTGGAAGAGCATGTACACATATTTCCATCAGTCCTTAGATATGAGTGGTTTTAAAAATTTGAATGGCAGACTTTGTTACTGCGGTTGATGCTTAATATATCATGTTTAATGCCATCAACAGGGGCTGTCCTTTGCTAAAATGAACTTTGTCACATCACTAGGGGCTGCCTCCTGTGACATTACAAGGGGTCATCCCCTGAAAGCTGTGACACACGTGGCCAAACAACATGAAAGTGTGATCAAGATGGCAAAAGTTATTAATGGGGAAGAACACACAAGCCAGCAGAGGCTGCAGCAGTTTACTTTTGGCTGAGCCTCCTGGGAAGTGCAAGATTCTGTCCCCTACCATCGTCTCCCTTCTGCTGAGTTAATACAAACTGTTTTTGAACTTTGATCTGTTTGCGGTATTTAAATAAATTGAATATGAAGGATGAAAATGGGAGATTGAAACTGGGACATTTTAAAAACAGTACAAAAAGTGAGAAGACTGAGGATTAACTGGGATTGTTCCTACCTAACTGGGGCAATTGTTTTGGCCTGAAATCTCAGGGCCTGTGGCAGTCCTGACCCGACAACCATAATGCCATTCAATGTCCATTGTAAAACCACAGCAAAAACAGAGTGCTGCCCTTATATATTCTGTTTGTGGGCTTCCCATTGGCCTCTGTGGGAAAGACGATGCTGGACCAGACAGATCTTTGGTCATATCCAACTAAGCTCTTCTTATGTTCTTACATTATACCTGGAGGCAGCTGATCACAAAGAGAAATGACAGTAAAGCATTTTCCAGATCAAAAAGATGATCAATTGTTGCATCAAGTCCATCTTTCCCTCCCTTTAGATCATATGGGCTGAAATTCATTTTAATGTAGGAAGCGCCAATAAGTAATGTTTTATGCATGGGGCTTTCTTGCTGCAAACAAATTGATGTGTTCAGGCTTGTCCTGATTTATAATCCCATCCCGCTGAATGCCCTGTTTTTCTCTTTCATTTCAATGTCAATGTGCATCCTGTATTTTTTAATTTCAGTATAGTTAATCTTTGAAACACACATTTACTCTTGAGAATTGCACTCAGAACGAAGGCCACTCCCTCCTTTTCCTCCCCACAAAGAGAAAACAATGGAATAAACTTTGCATTACAAAGCCTGCGAGCAGGTATTGCTTATTAAGAGTATCAAAAGAGTTATTTTCCATCTCAATTTGAAGACAGACACAGGAGTTTACATGGTTCAACAGAATGCCCCTATGAAACATGTGGGAGGTGTTTTAGCCTCAAAAGATGGGCTGAATTTACATAATCTCTTTCTTTCTCTCTTTTTGGCTAGTAGTTGATATGTTCAGCAATAAACACCTGCCCATTAAACTGTGAAAAGAGAAGTATTTTTCAGAAACTAGGAGAGAAATGCAAACAATACCATTCCTTTCCAGGACAATAGTAAAAGAAATCCAGAACAATCGAAGTAATTCCTACCATTTTGCGTACCTTCTTCTCCTCTAGTTTTAATACAAAGAAATATAGGCAACAGAACATTATCATTTTAATCTTGGCATGCAACTGCTTGCAAAATGAATCATTTTCTAAAAGTAGTTAAGCAGTGGGCTAGATGTCTTGGGGGCAGACATGGAAATCCTAGCGATGAGGAGATGGAAATGAAATTTAACATTCAGTATGAGTATGTTGAAAGCCAGCATAGTGTAGTGGTCGGAGCATTAAACTACAACTCTGAAGACCAGGGTTCGAATCCCTGCTTGGCTATGCTGATCTTGGCCAAGTCAGACTCCTTCAACCTCAGAGGAAGGCAAAGATGACTCCTCTGTAAACAAATCTTGCCAAGAAAAGAATGTGATAGGTTTGCTCCAGGGTTGCCATAAGTTCTAAATGACTTGAAGACACACAACAAAAACAACAAGTAGGTTAGGGCATAAATATACTAAAGGCATCAGGAACCATTCTGATCTTGGAAGTTAAGCAGGTTCAGCCCTGGTTAGTACTTAGTGGGGAGTCTGCCAATAAATACCTGGTGCTGGTGCCTTTAGGGTATTTAGGCCCTAACCTACTTGTCCAATGCTCAAACCACTGCACTATGCTGGTTCTCAACCTGCTCAGACTGAATGTTAAATTTCATTTCAGAGAAATGAACTGACACCACCACCTCTGAGTATTCCTTGCCTAAGAAAACCTTATGAAATCCATGGGATCACCATTAAGTCAACTGGTGACCTGATGGCTGGCACGCACGCACGCACGCACGCACGCACACGTTGCTAGAGGGAGAAGAACTTCTTGCTAGGTCACTAAGTAATTTGTTAAAACGGTTAGTTTTCCATTTCTCTCCAATTAGGCCTCTGCAACTGGAGGAAAACAACAGAAGGGTAAAAATGAGGGTTGCTAGATCTCAGGACTATCCCCCAAGCCTCTAGTTTTCATGCAGTTGGGGGACGAGGGTGCAAAATTATCATTTTGTTGGGTTCATCTCCAAGAAAGAGGAAAGGGATGGGAGCAAATTTCCAGCTCAGCTATTAAGGTAGCAGATAGCTACAATTCATAAAGCTGCACTGAGGAAACTTGCAGACTCCCAGAGAGTCTATGTATTTTCTAATTTAGCTTTTTCCTTCTCTCCCAGTGAAAAAGACAGGATGACACACAACAGTAAAGGCCTTAGACAACTGCTGCCAACCACATAGACAACACTGGGCTGGATGAGCAAATACTGAATCAACATCTACCTACGGTATATATTTTACAAAGCCAAACTCACACAAGATTTCTTTCTGCCAAAAAATAGCAAAGCCTTCCTCAATAAGTAAAGCTCACCCATCTCCTATATTTAAATGGATGCTGCACACACCCTCTTTTCTATTACAAAGGTTTTTAATTTGTGATTATCTTGAAACATCCATGAGAAAGTTACATGAATATGCAATGAGAACAGGACCTTGGAATAGCTGCTTTTTTGGTCTACAACTCTCCAAACCCCTCAAGCCTTCCAAAGTAATTTCTTCTAAGCTCTAACTAGAACATACTCCATGACTGGAAAATACTTAATCTTAGTGCCCCAGACATTCTTAAAACTTAACAGAATGATTATTAAGTCAGCAGTGCTCTATAAATAAAGCAAGCAGAACAAAAGATGAGTGGAATAATTTTATTTAACAAATATTGGCCAAGATCCTACACTGCAGTTGTAGCTGTGAATGCATAACTACGTATCACCCCCTGATCTTACTTTCCAAACCTACCTGAACAGCCAGCAGAAGCACCATGCAATAGAGTTCTGTTCTGCTGGCAACTGGGGTACAATAGGATGATGTCTCTAGCCCTGTCCTGCCAGCGATCTGCAGTGCAAACCATCAGGAACAGGAGCCATGTTGTAACTCCTTGTCGCACTGTGTATGGCTGGTAGGCAAGGGCTAGAAATATCATCCTCTAGCACTCCAGTCACCAGCAGAACTAATCTCTGTCACTCATTGCAGTTCTCTGAAGTTTAAGGTGGGTTTTGAGGGGGAGGAATCTATGATTGTGGCAAATTGTCCATATTTAGCATACAGAGCAGTTATGATTTGCAACTCTAGGTTATGAACCTGTAATTGTAATGCAGGATTCCAGCCATTGTTAACAAAATGAATAAAAACAAACAGTTTACAAAATATAAATTTTGAAACATATTATAGAAGAATCCATGTCTGGAGGGACACATTTTACATATCACACATTAGAGAATACACTTCTCTAGGCATCTGTAGGTCTTCCAGTGCAATTCTATGGTCAACATCTGCCAGAGTTGGAGGACCTAGAGATTCGTAGAGAGATGTTCTCTCAAGTTAAAAAAAAAAGAGAAAGTATCTGCATTTTTTTTTTTTGCTTTTACTGTGCTCCTGAGTTCCTAATCCAAACAAATGTGGGGGCCCCAATGTATTTTGTCAGATAAGCCCAACTCTAAATTCTCAGCTCATTGCAGTGATGCTGTGAACACTGTCCATTACTTGGAAACACTGCATCCATTTTTGAATTTCCAGGAAAGCTACAGATCAAGGGTTCCTTTTCCTTTGAACTTCTTTGCAGAACGCTCACTGGCACGGAACTGGATCCTGCTCCCATAGATATAGGATACAAACCCATCAAGTTCAATGCTGAAGACACAGTTAAGCTTTGGAATAACTGAAAGAGAAGCCATAAATAAAAAAGTTAATGGCTGATTTTATTATGTGTACTGGATTCCTGTGGCATACCATTATAATTCATAGAGAACTTTTCTTGAACCTGGTACATTGCAAAGAATGAGGACAATGCATCTAGTCCAAGGGGTGACATTCAGGAAACAGATGCAAATAACAGAAGACAAGAAGGGAAATGGAGGCATTGATAAAGCATGGAAGAATATATGAGAAATTAAAAGTAATCTGACCTCAGGATCTTTGTTAATGTTTTTAGGGAAGATAAACAGCTGCCACTGGAAAAAACAGGTTAAAACAAAATGTGTGCTATGCTTACCTTTCAGTTTGTCTTCTTTTGTAATGATTTTGAAAATGTGTTTCATTTCCTGCACAATGATGCCTGTAGTACCAACGTAGGAGGGACATTTGGATTTAGTGACTAGACAAACAAAACAGATCATTAGAGTTAGGTTGACAGTGTTGGTATGGCACACTTCACTACTTGGTCATATGATTTCCTTGTGTGTGCAATATGGAGCACAACTGCACAAATAAATGAAACAACAGGCAAATAAGGGGGAAACAAGACAGAGGTGTATAGAATTAGGCATGGTTTAGAAAATATGGGCAAAGAGGTTTTCTCCCTCTTTCATAATATTGGAGCTGAAGAACATCCTACGAAGAATAGTGGGAGGTGTGGGATAGAATGAGTGTGGTGTAGTGGTTTGGGTGCTAGACTAGGGTTCTGGAACATCAAGGTTAAAATCACAGCTGAGCCATGGAAACATCTGAGCAACCTTGGTCAAGTCAAACTGTCTTGGTTTTAGAGGAAGACAATGGCAAACCTCCTCTGAAAAAAAGCATGCCAAGAAAAATTACGAGAGTCATTATATGTTGGAGTTAACTTGAAGACACCTAACACTGAAAGGAAGTACTTCTTCACACAGTGCATAGTTTAAAACACTTTCACAGTATATGGTGATGATCATTGATTTAGCTGGTTTTAGCATGGAATGAAATGACTGGGTAGATAAGGATATCATTGGCTGCTAGTACTCATGGTTATGTCACTTCAAAGAACAAAGGCAGCATGCCTCTGAATAGTGGATGCTGGGAAACAACAGCTAGACTAGGCTGACTTTGTCCACTCTGAGGAAACAGGATCTGGACTAGACAGGCCTAGGGTCTAATCCAGCAGTGTCTTTCTTATGTTCTTATGGTCAATGCCATCAATTTAGTCAATGCTGGGTCATCAGAATGCTCAGTAGATTTATACCAAGAAGGTTTAATTCCAATACCTAATTTTACATCCTCATGCATAAGCAGTACTTAACCTACAGGTTTTCCAACTGGACATCATAAGAAACTATTTTATTGTTGCTGTTAAACACAACAACATATATCGGAGATGGGAAATGTATGGTTTGCAACTTCCATCACCCCCACCATCGATTACACAGGCAGTTCAACACCATCTGAAGGACCATAAACTGTCTATCCAGATGTAAATGCTGAAGCTGGGCATGTAAAGAAAGATGGAGGAAGGCAGACACACAGTTATTAACACATGATACTGAACAGCTGAACCTGGGCATTAATGGATCAAAAGGTGCCCCTGATTAATTGAGTAGATTTATTTATTTATTTATTTTGAAGTATTGCATTTAAACCCACTGAGTGATCTTGGACAAGTCATACTCTCACAGGCTCAGAGCAAGGTAATGGCAAACCTGCTCTGAACAAGAAAATGATAAGGTGACCCTAAGATGCACCTAAGTTGGAAACAACTTGAAGGCACACAATGACTACTACAAGAACTTATACAACCTGCAGATGGATAACTCCATATTAGAAGAGGCTTTTTTTTCTCTAATGTGAAGGAAGAGAGAAATTGAACAATTAATCTAAAACCAAATTATACTTTGTTTCCTTAGAACCCTTAATTTTTCATCTGAAAGCCTATGTTAGTTTCACTGATTAGTCACTTGATATAACTGATCAACAATCAACTCAGGTTAAATCATTCTCTCAATTTCTGGAATAGGATGCGTTTAAATCAAAATGGGTCTGTATGTAGAAATAGAGCAAAAATACCTGTAACGAGAGCTCCGTGAAGATCAGCTTTTAGCAATTTGGTCTGAATCATCTGCGGCTGTCTAATAAAAATATATATAGTTTAAAATTCTTCAAAGGATTAAAAAAGAAAAAACCAAATATAACACTCAGAAGAGGGACAGTCCTGGAAGGCTAGTGTCAATAATAACAGAGTCCATCTGTGAAAAACACCTCGACTTTCTATGGAACAGCCTCTATCACAACAGCAACTAATTGTCCCAACCATTACTTAAGTTAAAGGAACTTACGCATCAGGCTTGAGTCCATTGCAGAGGTCCCTGATGTACTGTTTCCATAATTCATGCAATGGCACAAATATCTCATATCTGCAAAACAAGCCAAAGATTTTTATTCTTTCAGTAACAGCAGTATCACAAAGCATCTATTTGGCATATTCAGAATTAGAATCTGGAAACTTTTTTGCTCCTTATTGAACAGTTTCATAAATGTAAAAATAAATCCCTGGAGTGATCTATTGTCCAGAAT